ACTTTAAAAACTCTTCGTTTAATCTAACCTCTTAGTGTTGAAAGGGAATCGAAGAATCCCTGCAATTATCTTAGTGCTCCTTTGCAAAGTGCTGTCACACGCCCTGTTGCATGTGATTCTCGTGACCTGCAAGAAAGTCTGTGGGTGCCAGGAGGCGGCTCAGGGATGTTGCATCCGAGGTCACGCAGTCAGGAAACGACAGAGGAGGTACCAAGCGCAGTGTCCTGACACCAGGCATGGAGTCCTTTTCCATATGGCCCCCACGTTCTCTCCCCTCTCTCCCCAGCCACGCTGCCAGGGGGTTTGTCTCTCTAAGGCCATCTGACCACACAAGTGTTCAGAACCACTGACTCTTAAAGGCTCAGAGCAGTGTTTCCCAAAGTGTAGGATCCAAATCACCGGGTGCTTCCTAAAAAGACTTGGTTCTCAGAACAGAATTCAAAATAGAGGGCCAGAAAACTGACTTTTTGTTTTGAGGCATCACAGGTGATTCTGATGCGCAGGGTCAGGAGCCCTTTGCCTTGAGGGCTAGAAAGCAGTAGCATTGATTCCTCTGGGGGTCTCTGGCTTTCCCTGTCACCTGTCAGGGAAGAGTCCCAGAGGGCCCGGAAGCGGACTTGAGCAATAGAATAGGGGAATCAAATCTGGGCTCCATCACTTACTAGTCAAGCAATTTCAGGAAACTTACTTACTTTCCAAGCCTCAGTTCCTCATCTATAAAATGGGACAATAGGACCAAGTAGGGTTGTTCTGTAAACAAAAGATCTTTACATAAAGTATTTAACACATGTCTGACCAAATGCTGAGTAAAAGGTGGTGATTTGCTCAAAAAACAGTTGCATGTGTTAAACTTGGGTTCAAACCCAAACTTCTGACTCGATATTTTCTAATATACCGGTGGCACTGAATATCTGAGAACTGGATTTGGTGAATTGGAGTAATGTATCCACTCATTTCCTACACGCAGGGCCCGCCTCATCCTCCACCCTTCACCTGGAGCTCCAGTAACTTCTGGGTTACTCACAGTTCCCACATCTACATTTATTTATTCTTCGGTTACTTCAAATTAATAATGTTCCCGATTGAATTTGCGGAACAGGCTCTACACTTTCCTGGCACACTGGCTGGTGTTTCAAACAGCTGCATTTCTCTCTGTACTGTCTCCTATTTTCTTAGGCTCTTGGGCTCATGACGATTCCTTATTGTTCTCAGTTGCACGGAGTGTCGAATAGTCTATGCAGTTCAGTTCAGCCCTCACGTATGGACGCCTACACGACGACTGGTACCGGCTGAGGTCCTGAGGATGCAGTAATGAAAATGATGTTTTCCCGGCTGTGGAGGCGCTCACACTGTCGTGCGAAAACAGACATTTAGGAAAAACACGAGATGGAGAAAAGAATGTAAAGACCAAGACATAATGCAGAACCTGCCATTGTGAGCTCGGGTGGGAGGAGGTGCTTGGCTGGGAGCACTAATGGGTTTTTCCAGGCTGACAATGGAAGATCAGAGTGGAGAAAGTGCATTTGGTGAGAAGGAAGAGGGAGGCTAAGGATGGAAGGAAAAGTGTTTCTTCTGTTCTAGAAGTGCAAGGCCAGGGAGTAGCAGAGGTCACTGGGGATAAAGCAGCCTAGAGCACTGACCAACCGGCCACAAAGTTGGGCTGCTCTGGAGGACGTGGGAAAGCTCAGCTACTACAGGGAAGATACGTGATCTGCTTTGGAAGTTCGAAAGCACACCCGATGCAGACGGGTGCTGAGCCCTTTATGTTCTTGCCTTCGTCCTCACAGTGACACTGAAGAGTCCGTAGCACTAGCATCCAGTGTGGGTGACCTGCGTGTTTTTTATATTATCATAGAACAACAATAAACTGGATTTTTAATTTAATAATTACTATAAACACCTTTCCATATATAAATAAAAAATTAGCATCATTATTTATGATCATTTCAGAGTGTTCCATTAATTTGATGGATCATGTAATTTTAAAACAGACTTACTGAGATGTAAGTAATGCCATAAAATTCAGCCATTTAAAGTGTACAATGGAATTATTGTTTGTTTTTTGTTGTTGTTGTTTGAGACAAAGTTTCACTCTTGTTGCCCAGGCTGGAGTGCAGCAGTGCGATCTCGGCTCACTGCAACCTCCGCCTCCCGGGTTCAAGCAATTCTCCTGCCTCGGCCTCCCGAGTAACTGGGACTACAGGTGCCCCCTACCACGCCAGGCTAATGTTTTGTATTTTTAGTAGAGACGGGGTTTCACCATGTTGGCCAGGCTGCTCTCAAACTCCTGACCTCAGGTGATCCATCTGCCTTTGCTTCCCAAAGTGCTGGGATTACAGGAGTGAGCCACCGCACCTGGCCGAAATGGTTTTAATATACTCATGCACTTTTGCAACTATCACCACAGTCTAATTCTGGAGCATTTTCATCACTCTCGAAAGAATCTTGTACCCTTTTGCAGTTGCTCCTTGGTCTCCCCTCTCCCCAGCTCCTGGTAACCACTAGTCTACCTTCTATCTCTATAGATTTGCTTATTCTGTAATCTTTCAAAGAAAATCTCGAATGTTGAATGTTTATGTTATTTCTACACTTTCTTTCTACTATTAACAGGTTCTAAGAAACATCTAATACCTACATTTTTACATTCTGTCTGATTATATTAAAATAAATTTCTAGAATTGGAATACGCTGAAACAAAGGCATGGCCTTTTTTGTTAGTTTCCCAAGTCACAAAATGACATTGTTGAGTATACGTTTTTCTCCTTTTTTGTGGAAAAATACTTAGTAATTGATGCTGAAAAAAATAGTTGTCAATGATAACAGTGTGTGTGCGTGTGTGAAAATGAGTTTTTGAGCATATTGTTAGGATCTTCAAGAAATACAAAATTACATTTATGGAAGACTAGACGACCAGATGCAAGGAGTCTGCTACCTGCTTCAGTGTCCAGCACCGTGATAACGATTCCCCGCATAAAAGCAAAAAGTGTGCGATCTCAAGTATCTTCAGTAATTGTCAGTATAACTTACAACTACTGCCCTTGCTTCTTTGAGAGATACTTTTTCCAATCATTGTGATTTAGCTCCAAAAAGTCTATTTCCTTGCAGTATTTTTTGCCATAGTTATTGCATTTTCTTTGGCAAAATAAATGCAGGTATGATAATGCAAAGTGAGTAAGATTGCCCCCCCCCCCCCCACACACACAGAGGCTGTGGACCAATCTTATTTATAAATACAACTACAAACGTGACATAAAACATTAGGGAGTCAATTTTAATAGTTTATACCAGGAACAGAAGTATGGCTCCATGTTGGGAACGCTGTTAACTGTGATAAACACTTAAAAAGCATCTCCTTAAAGATGCAGCAGCCCTACTTGATTATTAAAATACTACCGGTAAAATGCAAGCAGAAGGAGAGTTGCTAAATATACATGCCCTCTTCTGCTTAAAGTCCTTTAAGGCTCTTTATTGCATTTGAAATAAAATTTTAGGCTGGGCGCGGTGGCTCACGCCTGTAATCCCAGCACTTTGGGAGCCCAAGGCAGGTGGATCATGAGGTCAGGAGTTTGAGACCGGCCTGACCAACAAGATGAAACCCCATCTCTACTAAAAATATAAAAATTAGCCGGCCATGGTGGCACGCACCTGTAATCCCAGTTACTTGGGAGGCTGAGGCAGGAGAATCGCTTGAACCTGGGAGGTGGAGGTTGCAGTGAGCTGAGATCATCCCACTGCACTCCAGCCTGACGAAAACAGTGAAACTTGGTCTATCAAATAAAATAAAATAAAATAAAATAAAATAAAATAAAATAAAATAAATAGTACTACCATAACAATCCATTAAATCCACATGTACTGGCTGTTTCTGAAGTTCCATCCAGTTCTACTCATCTGCTCACTCTAGCATCAGTACCAGGCTTTTTTAGAGTCTGGATGTTTGGCAGAGCACGTTTCCTTCATTACTCTGTTTCAATCTTTTCCCAGCTTATTTTCATGCTTACTTTTAGGTGAAATTTAGGTTAGCTTTTGTTTCCCCCAAATCCCACGATCTTGACTTTGAGAGGTTAAGCTTCAGGTTAATGCAAGTGAGTATGCCTTACTTTTGGTAATTTGATCCATTTATTAAATATATATCTTATGTCTCTCTGGAGAATCTGCAGGTCCTGCCCAATTCTTGTTAGCATCGTAATATTTAGATAATGGAAATGGGATTGCTTCGTATTGTATTTTACTAATTGTTTACATAGATGTAATATATGGAATAATGGGCAATATTTGAATACTTTATTACTTAAGTTTATCCTTGCCACCTCCAGGTTGTGCATGAAGGATCCCAGTTCTTGAAGAGCTCAAGTCACCTGTCTGAGGTTTCACAGCCAGTCGGTGGTAGTACTCGGATTTGCATTCTGAGGGCACAGGTTTTATGGCTACATCAAATGGCTTACTGGGAGCAGGTTTTATGGCTACACCAAATGGCTTACTGGGAGTTTGCGGTCTATTCATTTTGTGTTTGGTAACTTTACTGATATCTCTTTTTATTTCTAGTGACATTTCATGGATTGAGGGTTCCCAGATACACCACCATATAAGCAAATAATAATTTTTCCCTCTCCTTTCCAATATGTTCCCCTTTGTCTAGTTGTACAATATCTATTTCTTATAATGTATACATGTTTTAAAAAATCACTTAAAACCTGCACAATATCATAACATACTCATCTTTAAACATTTCAAGAGTATAGTAAGATGATAGGATTTAAAATAAGTCATAGATATTATTCCTGTAATATTGAGTATGCCAGATTAGAAGTTGCTGGAATAATTAAGTTGCACAGAGATTTTCCACGTTCTGTTTTTGTGCCTGTTATGACTTTGTTGCCTATCTAAACTGGTTATAAAATTTAGTCTAAGATATTTTTAATGCTAAGAAAATAGTTGATTTTGTTTACCTTCATGTCATTCTACAATTGAGGGCAACTTGTAAACATCTGTTGGTGTTAATGTTGCAGAGAGTTGGGGAAATGGATGGAGGTAACCAGACTGAAGGTTCGGAGTTCCTTCTCCTGGGGATGTCAGAGAGTCCTGAGCAGCAGCAGATCCTGTTTTGGATGTTCCTGTCCATGTACCTGGTCACGGTGGTGGGAAATGTGCTCATCATCCTGGCCATCAGCTCTGATTCCCGCCTGCACACCCCCATGTATTCCTGGCCAGGCCTCCTCCTTCATGACCTCATCTTGTCACCCAACACCAATCCCCAAGATGCGGTGAACCTCCAGTCCCAGACAAAGCCATCTCCTATGCAGCGGTGTCTGACGCAGCTCTACTTCCTGGTCGCCTTGGTGACCCTGGACACCTCATCCTGGCCGTATGACCGCTATGTGGCCATCTGCCACCCCCTCCACTATGTTACAGCCATGAGTCCTGGACTCTGTATCTTGCTCCTCTCCTTGTGTTGGGTGTTCTCTGTCCTCTATGGCCTCATCCATACCCTCCTCATGACCAGGGTGACCTTCTGTGGGTCCCGAAAGATCCACTACCTCTTCTGTGAGATGTACGTCCTGCTGAGGCTGGCATGTTCCAACATCCACGTCAACCACACAGTATTGGTTGCCACGGGCTGCTTCATCTTCCTCATCCCCTTAGGTTTCATGATCACGTCCTATGCCCGCATTGTCAGAGCCATCCTCCGAATACCCTCAGCCACTGGGAAGTACAAAGCCTTCTCCACCTGTGCCTCCCATTTGGCTATGGTCTCCCTTTTCTATGGGACTCTGGGTATGGTATACCTGCAGCCCCTCCAAACCTACTCCATGAAGGACTCAGTAGCCACAGTGATGTATGCGGTGGTGACACCCATGATGAACCCCTTCATCTACAGCCTGAGGAACAAGGACATGCATGGGGCTCTGGGAAGACTTCTCCAAGGAAAAGCCTTCTGGAAATTGACATGAGGGGTAATTTTGGGCATTGAAGTGGAGACGGAAAACTTCCTCCACCGTGAGCAAGGCCTGTCAGGGAGATAGGAGTGATTAGAACATAGGTCCAGCTCAGAATGAGTTTATGGCTTTGTGGTGAAGCAAAGACACCTCTGTCGAACCCAACTGCAGCTGCACCAGACCCATCTGTTTCAACTTCTATTAACAAGGTTGTGAGTTGTTTTTCAGTGGCCATGGGTCCTTAGGTCATGTGACCTGAGCATGCTCGGATGAACCAAGCTTGAAACTACAAGAGAAACTAAGTGCTGGGACTGAAGCTTTTTTCTTTCTTTTTTTCTTTTTCTTTTTTTTTTTTTTTGAGACAGAATCTGCCTCTGTTGCCCAGGCTGGAGTGCAGTGGCACGATCTCGGCTCACTGCAGCCTCCTCCTCCTGGGTTCAAGCAATTCTCCTGCCTCAGCCTCCCGAGTAGCTGGGACTACAGACATCCGCCACCACGCCCAGCTAATATTTTTTGTATTTTAGTAGAGACGGGGTTTCATCATGTTGACCAGGACAGTCTCGATCTCCTAACCTCGTGATCCGCCCACCTTGGCCTCTGAGAGTACTGGGATTGCAGATGTAAGCCACCGGGCCCAGCCATAATTTTTGTACTTTTAGTAGAGACAGGGTTTCTCCATGTTGGCCAGGCCGGTCTCGAACTTGTGACCTCAGGTGATCCACCTGCCTCAGTCTCCCAAAGTGCTGGTGAGAGGTGAAGTCAGCTGGATTTCCTGGGCCCAGTGGGAACTCAGAGAACTTTTCTGTCTGGCAATAGGATTGTAAAATGCACCAATCAGCACTCTGTAGCTAGCAAGGGGATTGTAAAACGCACCAATCAGTGATTTGTAGCTAGCAAAGGGATTTTAAAATGCACCAAGTAGCGCTCTGTAAAATGCGCCAATCAGTGCTCTGTAAAATGCACCAATCAGCAGGATCCTAAAAGTAGCCAATCACAGGGAGGATTGAAAAAAGGGCATTCTGATAGGATAGAAATGGAACATGGGCGGGGACAAATAAGGGAATAAAAGCTGGCCACTCCCCCAGTCAGCAGCAGCAACCTGCTCAGGTCTCCTTGCATGCTGTGGAAGCTTTGTCCTTTCACTCTTCACAGTAAATCTTGCTGCTGCTCACTCTTTGGGTCCGTGCCATCTTTAAGAGCTGTAACACTCACTGTGAAGGTCTGCAGCTCCATTCTTGAAGTCAGTGAGACCACAAACCCACTGGAAGGAACCAACTCTGGACACACTGGGATTACAGATGTGAGCATTTAATAATTTAATACCTGCCTCTGGTTTTGCCGCCCAGATTCTCAACTTCAGGAGAAGCAGCTCCACTCTTACTGCTTTCACTAACTTCATTTCCCTAACACTATATTGCATTGTTTTAATACATTCTTCTTTATCCTATGGGAACAATTGTCTCTTATTATTGTTTTCATTTGAATAGCTCTGATGTAATAAGGTTGATCTTTTTCCGGGTATTTGTTAACAATTTGCATTCTTCCGTTAATCACTCTCATGCATTTTTTCTTTTTTTTTTTGGTTGTGAATTGTTCAGTTTCCAGTACCATGGAATCTCTAGGTATGTCTCTCCTTCAGAAGTAACCATGACCCTCAATTCTGTGTTTGTCATTTTCTTCCTTCACTCCAACACTGGGGAGTACAATTCAGCATGAGATTTGGGTAGGGACACAGAGCCAAACCATATCAGTGTCCATTCACCTACAGATGGACATTTGGGTTGTGGGGCAGGCAGCCTCTAAAATGTCTCCCAATGATTGCTGCCTCCTGGTATTCATGTCTGTGTATAGTCCCCTGTCTTGAGTGTAGCTGAAATCTAGGGACTTGCTTCTAACAAATAGAACACAGTAAAACTGATGACATCTGAGATTAAGTTATAAAAGACTATGATTTCCATCTCCTCTCTTTCTGGCTCTCTTCTCTTGATTGCTCTGTGGAAGGAAACAGATGAGTTTTGAGAGGCCTTAGCAGCAAGGAACTGAAGGCGGCCTCCAGCCAACAGCCAGCGAGGCACTGAGGTCTGCAGTCCAACAACCAGCAAAATGTTGCAACTTACCAGTGACCATGTGAATGAGCAGGGAAGCTTATCCTTCCCTGGTCAAGCCTTCAGACAGCTGCACCATTGGCCGATACTCTTAAGGCGGCCTCATGAGAGAATCCTGACCCAGTATCTCTGAGGCAAATTTGGCATCCTAATTGAGATGTGCTGTAAGTTTAAAATACACATACCAGAGTTCAAAGACTATGAAATATAAAAATGTAACTTTGGGAGGCCGAGATGGGCAGATCACGAGGTCAGATCGAGACCATCCTGGCTAACACAGTGAAACCCCATCTCTACTAAAAATACAAAAAAAAATTAGCTGGGTGAGGTGGACAGCATTTTCCAGATCTCTTGGACAAACACCTAGCGAACAACAGAAAATGGGGACGCCGAGACTTCCTGAATTTAATAAATGGTGCTGCGCGGGCGAATTAAAATTGGCATTAAGCCATAAGTATAAGCCTGGGACACACCTGGATCCCTTTCCTTACTCCTTCAATAGCGAGCAAACACAAACATCTTATCAATATTCAAAGACTGGAATTGAGAGACTTGAAATATAGTTACCCCCTAATACCCATATAAAATCCTAGAGGGACAAAACCTAGGTAAGTAACCATTTCAGCCGAACATAGGCATGGGGCCAAAGACCTTCATGGTCTAAAAACACCAAGAAGCAAAGCAGCCAAAATGCCCAAAAATTCGAACCAAGAAATTAGGGAGTCTGATTAAACTAAAAGAGCGTTCTTGCACCAGCAAAAGAAACATCTACCATCCAGAGTGACCACAGGCAAGCCTATCAGAAATGGGGCCAAAAATTTTTTGCACAAATCACCCCACTGACCAAAGGGCTCAGGATATTCCAGAACCCAGACCTACAAAGGAACTCGAAAACCAAAATTTACAAGAACAAAAAAAGAACAAACAACTCCCATCTCTAACAAAGCGTGGCGCAACCCGGTATATGAAACGAGACATTTCTCAAAAGAAGAAGACATGTCATCACATGCCCAACCAGTTATGTCACCACTGAAAAAAAATCATGTTTACATCCATCAATACGGCCATGCAAGAGAAAGTGCACAAGTCAAAAACCATGCAATGAGATACCATCTCACACAGTTTAGCACAATGGCCAATCATTTAAAAAAAGTCAGGAAAACAACAGGTGCTGGAGAGGGCGATGTGGAGAAATATGGAACAACTTTTTTATACACCTGTTGGTATGGGATTGGGTTAAACTAGTTTTCAACCATTATGTAAAAACAGTATGGTGTCCCGATTTCCTCAAGGATTTCTAGAACTAATGTACCATATTGATCCCAGCCATCATCCATTACTGGGTATATACAAAAAGGAGTTTATAAATTATGGCTGCTATTAAAGATCACATGCACACGTATGTTCTATTGCAGCACTAATTCACAATAGCAAGAAGATTTGGAATCAACCCAAATGTCCATCAGTGACCAGATTGGAATTAAGAAAAACAATTGCTGGCACATATACCACCATGGGAATCACTTATGCCCAGCCATAAAAACAGGATGATTTTTGTCCTTTCGTAGGGATCATGAATGGCAGCTGGAGAGACCATCATTCCTCAGGCAAACTGTATGCACAAGAACAGAAACCAGAACACCGCATGTTCTCACCTCATAGGTGGGAAAACTGAACAGATGAGAAATACTCTGGACTCCAGGGAAGGGGAACATCACAACACCGGGGCCTATCATGGGGAGGGGAGAGGAGCAGGGATTGCATTGAGTTATACCTGATGTAAATGAACGAAGTTGGATGGGTGCAGCACACCACATGGCAACAAAGTAATACATATAGTACCACAAACCTGCAAGTTTATGCCACATGTACCCTACAACTTAAAGTATAATAATAAATAAATTAAAATTTAAAAATAAAGTTATTAAAAATCCC